GTGGGCACCAGTAACATCTCCATTGTGAGACTTGTTACTGTTCTTGGCATATCGAATACGCCACGGGAGCTTGCCAGGCTCTGCAGTGCGGGTGGGATACTCTCAGCAGCTTGCCGGGCTCTCCGAGAGGGACGGAGGAATCGAAACCGGGTCAGCTGTGTGCAAGGCAAATGCCCTACCGGCTGTGCTATCGCTCCAGCCCTTGTAAAACAATCATAACAAAATATAGTTATACAGACAATCATATGCAAAGTCTAAAGAATCCATAGTTTGCATCATATTCAAGGTAGTAATAGTCCTTTCTACACATACACAAAAGATACGCATTAAATACACATATTAAAGTTCCCCTAAAAAAAGGTCAACAATACCGAATGTAACCTGCCCACACGGCAGAGTCTGGCAAACTCCCCGTGGTGTACCCAATATGCCAAATACCAGTAACAACGAAGGGTCTCATTCTCCTAACGCTGAAAGAGCCTTGAATATGGCACTTTTTAAAAAAAAAATCTCAGGGCTAGGACGAAGGAGACGTTACTGGGGCCTGCTCGAGGCAATCGACAAATACCAGGATAGTTGTGATTGACTGATTGATTGTGATCCTAAAACATTTTGACTTCAAAACTAGCCATATAAAATGTTCTTACTTACAAATACCTTTTAGAAGTTGGATGTGGCACAGAAAATATTGCAGATTTTGAAATACATACAAAGAATGAATAAAAGTATGACTTGCAAATAACCTGGGAACTGTAAGCTGCTCAAATAGTTGAATGAGCACATTAAGATTCACTAACTGGGGCAGGAGAGAGTATTCCCAGCACTGCATACAGTTCCCCAGGACTGCCAGAGAACCCCTGAATAGTCAGGAGTAGTCCTTGAGCAGTGCTGGGTGCAGAGCCCCAAACAACAAAAGATCCACTAACTGCAACCTTGTGCTCTACTCACTGAACCAAAGTACCTTAAAATAGACGTAAGAGTACTGGACCTATGATTTTTGGCAGCCACATCATCTAGCTCTGTAACATCAATGAGGACAAAAGCCTGCATCAACCTCTAACTCACTCACCAACAAGCTGCCCCACCTAGTCACCACTGTAGGAAGATGATGCTCAGAACCAGAGAAATCACAGATGAATGGACACTACAGAACAATGGAGTCAGGACAACTGGTTTGCAGCACGAGCTCATGTCAGATTACTTCGATGACTTTAACAATCACCATACATTGACATTTATAAAGAACAAAGTGCTCAGCTAAGCTAGCTGCTGCATACAACTCATCTCACCCTCAGATAGGTCTGGGATATGGGTATTACCCCGTGGCTCTAAGATGGAGATAAGACTACTGAGAAAACCTTTTAGAAAACAGGGTATTAACAGCCTTCACCTCCAGACCTCTTCTCAGGATGCCAGACAATGAATGACCATAGCAGAAATACTAGAGCCAGGTCATTTTGCCCCATGCCAGACTCTTCCAATCTTTGCTTGGTCAAGACTTTCTCAGAGATATGGTATGCTATGGTCTACTCACTCCTTCCTTTCACCAGCATCAAATCAGCATTCTAGATCAAAAGTTCTTTTGTCCATTCTTCTTGTTCTTTCCCCCAATAAATCCATCACGCAACTCTTATAATTTATGTTTCAGAATCTAAGATAACACAATTCCCATTTTAGAGATGAGAAAAACTTACTAAGGTGAAATAATTAGGTTTTAAATCCATCTGACTTCAAGCTTTTAACTTAGAATTTAAAAAATGTGCTCATTATTTTTTAAAAGTAATGCCATACAAAGTCACGTGAGTATTAGTAAAAGGCATGCCACATAGGAAAAGGCTAAAACATTGACATTCAAAATCAAGTTAATTCCTTTAATTTTATTCTTTTTTTATGAGTAAAAAAAATCATCAAACATGATTACTAATCACCGGACAGGTATGCTATTAAGACATACCTCATTTATTGTGCTCTGCAAGTATTTCATTAAGAGGTGAGATAGTAACCAGGTGCCCATGCAGTTTGGGATTAAATCAGGGCATCTGCATGCCAACAAAGTGCTCCAGCCCTTTGAATTACTTCCCTGGACCAGATTATATGTTTTTGGGTCACATCTGGCAGTGCTCACGCTTATTCTTGTCTCTGCACTCAGGGATCACACCTGTTGGGGCTCGGGGGGACGGTACAGGGTGTCAGAGACCAAACTCAGGTCAGCTCTGTGCAAGGCAAGCACCCATCTGCTGTACTATTTGCTCACACTCCTAGAAAACATTTTTTTTAACCAGATCCTTTACCAGCAAAAAAGGTGAAGGGGAGCTGGTTCAATTTCCAGCACTGCATATGGTCCCCAAAGTACAGAGTCAGAAGTAAGCCCTAAGCACACATAGCTGGGGGTGGTTCCAAAAATAAAATAAAAAACAGGATAGGGTCAACTGTGATGCTGGCATTTTTAACACTTCCTCTCTAGTTTGTTTCTGAACCACTCCCAGATGTGCTCAGGGTTTACTCTTGATTCTGAGCTCAGGGATCACTCCTAGTCAGGTATTGGGAGGGTAGGGTGGGGACAACAGATGGGGCACGGGGACCACATGTGATTCCAGGAATAGATTGTAGATCTGTGTGCAAAATAAGCACCTTACCCACTGGACTATCTCTTCAGACTACAATAAGGGTTTTTTTTTTTTTTTTGCTTTTTGGGTCACACTCCTGGCTCTACACTCAGGGTTACTCCTGGCTCTACACTCAGGAATTACTCCTGGCGGTGCTCAGGGGACCATATGAGATGCTGGGAATCGAACCTGGGTCGGCCGCGTGCAAGGAAAATGCCCTACCTGCTGTGCTATCGCTCCAGCCCCTACAATAAGTTATTTTTGATTTAGAAATAAATATAGTTTTCTTTCTTTTTTTGCTTTTTGGGTCACAACTGGCGATGCACAGGGGTTACTCCTGGCGGTGCTCAGGGGACCCTATGGGATGCTGGGAATCTAACCCGGGTCGGCCGTGTGCAAGGCAAACGCCCTACCTGCTGTGCTATCTCTCCAGCCCCAAATGTAGTTTTCTTTTTAAAGACACGATGTAATTACACATTTTTATGTACGAGAAAACTAAACCTGTGTCACCTGATTACCTGTGATATTTCATTTACAAACACACAGCATCTCCAAGATATACCTGTAATCAAATAACACTCCTACAAAAAAATGGCAAATAAACTCGGTATGTGAATTGAAGATTTTGCTGAATACAAAGAATTAAACACATGCAGGCAAACCGGTAACAGTCCTAAGCTTAGAGGATTCTACCCAAGGGAGCAGTACCATTTCTCTTAAACAGGTTCTCACAGTATGTAAGAAAATGATTTTGGGGATGAAGAAACGAAGGCAAAAACCCAAACTTCCAAATAGTTGTGTCCACATCCCTAACACTAATGGTATCTGGCACAGATCAGGCATTCAATAAATAATTCCTGGGTGTATGGTGCCGCCAGCAGGTCAATCTGTATCTGTGAGGCAAGTGCATCAGCAGTCTCATGGCACCTTCAGACTTCCAGATACCCCAAAATTGCTGCTATGCCTGTGGCCAGACCCCAAAAACTTGGGGCAAAGTTTACCAAGAAAATAAACGGCCAAAAGTTAGGTATGTGGGAGACACACCCACAAACCCCCTCCGGCTCAGCTATATAATTGGAGGCATGGCCTCTCTGGTTCCTGATTGAACTGCTTAATGGCCATGATCCCAGAGACTCAGAAACAAATCTCGAAACCCAGTGGCTTTTGGCAGAAATGTGTCCTGTCCCTGCAGTAGGTTACCGGTGCTGGGCGAACCCAGGCGGGAATAAGTTTCATGCCTTGGCCTGTTCCCCCTGGCGGCCCGGTGGCCGCCATCCTCCAGAGGGCACTGGACAGTCAGGTTTGGGCCCGCAGTGACAAGACACGCAGGGCCTCACGGGGTGGGGTTGGAGCTGGTCCTGTACTCCCCACCCCAATGAGACCTCAAGTCATCGCTCACAAACAGCCTTTCTGGCTCCTGATCAAGATGCTTAACAACCATGATCCCAGAGACTTAGAAACAAATCTCAAAACCAAGTGGCTTTTAGCAGAAATACGTCCGGAGCCCACAATAGGTTACTGTTGCAGGGGCCACCTCAGGGGGGAAAGGGTATTGTCCCTCTATCTGCTTCCCCCTGGCGGCTCAGTGGCCGTCATCCTCCAGAGGCCACTGGAGAGTCAAGTTTGGGCCCGCAGTGACAAGACATGTTGGGCCTCATGGGATGGAGGTGGAGCTGGTCCTGTCCTCCCCACCCCAACGAGACCCCAAGTCATCACCCACAAACGGCCTTTCTGGCTTCTGATCAAGCTGCTTAACGGCGATGATCCAAAGACTCAGGAGCAAATCTTGGAACCCAGCAGGTTTTGGCAGAAATCCCTCCAGATTTAAGTGTTAAAATTTTGGAATTTCAAAATCGCGCGGCCACTACTGCAGCCACGCGACAGCATGTTATCCATAACCAGCAATAGAAAACAAATTGTCTACTGTTGCCTTTTCAGCAGATCTGAGTGTTGGGGTAAAATCTCAAATAATAATGGTGGGTCTGGTGTCGAAATATTGAATGTGATCAAAGCAGAGAGAGAGTAATGTGGGCATCACAGGTAGGGGGAGGGTGTGGGATGGGGGTATACTGGGTTTTTGGTGGTGGAGAATGGGCACTGGTGAAGGTACGGGTGTTTCATTGTATGACCGAGACTTAGACCCGAAAGCTTTGTAGCTGCTCTCACGGTGATTCAATAAATAAAATTATAAAAAATGGAAAAAAAGTAAGGTAGAGTTCATGCCCAATTCAATAAGCTAATCAGTGGCTGAATAAATAGCAGTACTCCTACATAAAAAAAAGAAAATTCCTGAATGGAATTTGAATGGCGATCTAAAAACCTTCCAATGAGCACCTTTCCTGACCTCTTACATAAAGGCCCAGTCCTTATAGCCTCGTTTGTGAAGCAGAATACCTGGCAGTTCATGTTGTCCTCTGCCTCGATGAGCTTCCCACGGTACACCTCTCCAGTGTTTGTCTCACAAGTCACGATGTGGCCCTCAGCCTCATGGAGGACTTTTATCGGCACACCAATGGACATCTTGGCAAGAAGGGAGTTCTAGAGTGAGAAAGACAAAAGCCAGTTTATCTCTCAGAGCTTACGGAGGTTATGAGGCATACCCCATCTTGCGTCAAGGCCTGATATCCTATAAATAGTGAAGATGACAATGAGGCTTCCCCCGCCCCACCAGAAAAAAGAAAAGAAATTCTTAGGAGCCAGAGAGATAGTACAGTAGGTAGGGTGCTTGCTTGCTTTACACAAAGCCTCCCAGCTTTGGGGCTGGAGCAATAGCACAGCGGGTAAGGCGTTTGCCTTGCCGACCCGGGTTCGATTCCCATCCCATATGGTCCCCTGAGCACCGCCAGGAGTGATTCCTGAGTGTAAAGCCAGGAGTAACCCCTGAGCATCGGCGGTGTGATCCAAAAAGCAAAGCAAAAAATAAAGCTTCCCAGCTTTGTTCCTTGGCATTCCATATAGTCCCCTGAGCCCGCCAGGAGTGATTCCTGAGTGCAGAGCCAGGAGTAATCCCTGAGCATCGATGGGTGCGATGGGTGTGTCATCCATTCCCCCCCTTCCCGCCCCCATCTGAGTTGAAGCATCCTACCTGGCACAAGTAGGTGAGATCAAAGTGATAGCACAGTGGATGACTGGGAATTTTGATCGCCAGTAACCCCCAGATGGTCCACAGAGTCCCGCCAGGAATGATTCCTGAGGGGCAGTTGGGATGAACACTTACAAAATGAGGAGGGCTGGGGGAAGAGGTGGCTGTGGGACTGAAAAGAGACTAATGGGAATGGAAAGAAAATAAATGTCTTCCATTTCTGTCTCTACTACCAGTTCCTTTCTCTTTATCCATCAATGCTGTGTGACAGAAAAGAGAGTTGGAATACACACCACCGTCCCACACAAGTGTCCACAGAATTGCTATCTAAACTCAAAATGAAAACAACATTCCCTCACTCACAAGAGCACCACACCAGATACTCAGCAGTCACAGCTGTCTAGAAGTGGGCACACAGGCATAGACGACCTGACGACACAGCTATAGGCCCAGGAACCCAAAGAGATATAGAAGAAATTGTACATCTGACTCAAACCGCTGATTGCCCTGTAATTCTCCAGACAGCACCATCAAGGAAGGCTAAGCAGAAATCAGGGTTTGGCACAGCAACACTGTGGAATAAGCAGGGTAAATTTATTTTGGAAGAAAAGCCATCCTGGCAAGCACTGGACTTGACCTAGTTTTTATAAAGATACATGGGGTGGGAATGGTTCACTTAAAATTTTATTTTATTTTTTTAACTTTAAGGCCATACCGGCTGTGCTCAGGGATCACTCTTGGCAGGCTTAGGGGACCATATGGGGTGCTCAGGACCAAAATTATTCACTGTTATCGCTTTGGCCTCTCCTACTTGTGTTTTGCAGGTAGGATGCTGAAGTTAAGAGGGTTCTTTGAGGATAAGGGGCACACTCATGGATGCTCAGAGGACTAGAGGGGATGCTAGGGATCGAACCTGGGAAGCTGCGTGCAAGACTAGCAAGCACCCTACCCACTGTGCTATCTCTCTGGCTCCTGAGCTTTTTTTTTTTCCAGTCTGGCTCCTGAACTCGAGTAAGCCACTTTGCCAGACAAGCGGTTTTTGTTCTTTGTCTTTAAACTGAATCACTGTGAGATACATAGTTACAAATCTGTACACCGTGTCGCATCTCAGTGATGCACTCTTCCAACATCCTTCCCCCCGCCAACGTCCCCCATTTCCCTCCCGCCACCTGCCCCCAAGACAAACGTTCTTAACCTCCGCATTCTATCTCCGGCCACTGAACTACACTTAACTAATAAAGTTTGTTATTTTTTGAGAGGTACCTAGAGCTTTCGCCTGGCGGGGCTGTTGATGGGGATGCGGTGGGGGGAGAACGACAATATGCAATGCTGGCATGGAACCCAGTGGGGCCGGGGGTTCCTAAGCCCGAGGGTGATCCCAGGAGGGGCGGGAACGCGCGACCCGCGTGTCGAGGGGCGAATTTTGTGAGCAACTGCAGAACGGACGCGGCCGGGCTCCGAAGCTGGGGCACCGGGTTCTGTGCAAACGCCGAGACGCGGGGGAGCGCCGGGGGGAGGGGGGGAGGCGGTGGGGGAGGGGCTCTGAGAAAGGACCCCGTCCCGCATCCCCAAAGGGCGTGGGGGGATGCAAACAAGTCAGAAATGCTCGGACGCTCCCAAACACGAGCTCTCCGGGTGCGACCCTCGCCGAGCAGCGAACGCAGACACTTCCAGGTGCTCGCGAAGGCGCGCGACGCCGTTACTGGGGGGGGGGCCGCGGGCTTCCCGCTCTCCCCGTCTCCGTGCCCCGCTTGGAGCTCCTCGGCCGCGCGTCCTTCCCGAGCCTCCGCCACTCCCAGCGGCCGCAGCCCTCCCGCGCCCACGCCCACGCCCCCCACGCTGGCTCCTCACCGGCTCCGGCCTCCTAGGTCGTGAGGCGGCGACGCGGGGAACCACGACGTGCTAAGTCGAGCGAATGGCGGGGCCCGCGCTCCCAGAACACCACGCGCTCCCGACGTGCCGCGCGCACCGCCCGCCCCCTTCCCTCTCCTATCCAATAGGAGCGCGGCTCTCGCCGCCGCTTCCGCCTCTCCCCGCCGGGTGGGAAACTTGAGCGCGAGTACCAGGGTTCCGGCGCAGCGCGGGGGTTGGGGAGAGGGGAAAGGATGGGATTCAGGTGTCGGGCCGGTTTGCGTTTCCAAAGCACCCCACACCAGGAAGGGGGGATACACTGCCAGGCGGGGATACAGGGCCTGGGCCATCGCCTCGGGGGCGGCAGACGGTGGGGGCAAGGGCCGGGACATCCCTGCACGTTTGAACCTTTGGAAGCCGGCGCCGTCAGGTAAGGGGCGCCCGTATCCCACTTGGAGAAGCTGGGCCAGGGAGCCAGAGTAGGTGCAGGCCTTCCGGAGCCGCACGGCGCTTAGAGCTGGACCAGGCCTGAGCCCTGCAGCAGGCCAAGAAAGAGGGGCCGGGCAGAGGCGGAGCTTGCCAAGGAAAGCACCTCCCGGGAGCCGCTCAACGCCGGCTACCAGGGCTTCGGGGGCGGGGCCCCGGGAGAAGGGCGGAGCTTCCTGGGAGGGCCGGCGGCCGAAAGGGGCGGAGTCTCCAGGACAGCGAATGGTGGGGCCTCTAGGGAGGGGCGTCATGGGAGGGGCGGGGTCTTCCACTGCCGGCCCTGGCGGAGGGGCGGGGCTTGCGGAAGGGGCGGGGCCTGCATCCCGGCCGGGAAGGGCCGGGGCGGGGCTTGGGGGTGGCCTGGCTGCTCTCTGTCCCCTTCTCTCCACCCGGGTGACGGCGGCCGCGGCGGAGGCGGCGGCGGAGGAACCCGACACGCACCGGCTCGGCTCCCACTCCAGCCGAAGCCGAAACTGCAGCCGGCGCCGGGCCGGGGCCATGGGCTCCCCGCGCCGTTCGGGTCATGAGGACGGAGGCGGAGACAGCGGGGCATCCGCTCGAGGCGGGTTAGTGTCTTCCCAGGGCCCGGCCCCCACCTCGAGGAGCAAGGGGGGACCCCTCGCTAGCGCGGGGCAGGGTCTGGGTGCGCGACCTTGGGGCGACCGCTGCCTTTGGTGGGGGGCCTAGAGTTTTGCAGCGGAACCTAGCCAAGTGCACGATTCGCCTTGGCGCCCTATCTCCCTGGCCCGGGTCACTTGGGGTTTCCTGGTACTCCAAGGGCTGCGATTCGATGGAGTAGCCAATAGCGGTGGGGGGGGGGAGAGCAAAGACGCCACTTTCTCCAGAAACGAAAGATCCTGGTGCTCAAGCCGCGTGGGAGACCTCCTGGAGGACTCGGGGGGAACGAGGATCCCCGAAAGGCGAGGGACTTGCTGAGAGCGCCGATGGGGGGGCCTTCTGATCGCTGTGGGTAGGCCCCCTGATTTCTTCGGCCATGGCCTGAGTTCTTTCGGGCAGAAAACCAAGACTGTGGGCCTGGGTTTGCTGTCCTGAACAGGAGAGTTGGGGAGGTGCAGGGAGGGGGTGGGGCGAACGTAAGCAGCAATTCCAGCTTTTAAGCCACCGAGAAGAGAAAGTGAGAGGTTAACACAAAGTGGGACCATGCAGTGTGTCCCCGCGTCCAGGGAGTGCGCTCCTGTGACCCTGTGGAGGAGGGGCTGATGCTTTCCTGGTGTTTGCACTTCTGCGCCTCCCACTTTGTGGTGTCCCTTTCGAGTCTGGTGGCGTCGTGGCTTCCATTTGTGGGAGCTTTCTATGAGCAGGCACTGTGCTGAGTTGTTTACTTCTGGTGCCTGGGATCGAATCCAGGGCTTCACAATCAAGGCAAGTGTCTACCACTGAGCTGTATCCTGGGCCCTGTACTGCCTGGTGAATCCTCAGAAGTCATCCATGTTACCATTCATTGTTATTTGCATTTTGCACATAAGCAGATTCGGGCTGAGAAGGGTTAATTATCAAGGGGCCAATGGCTGCTGGTCTTCCTTGGCTCTACCTGCCAGCCCAAGGCCTTCCGGGAAGGCCCCAGATCTCAGGTGGGAGAGGCCCCGGCTCTAAGCATCAACGTCTGGTAACGGCTTTGGGATGGGAAGGCCTCGCCTATCCTTATCACCCCCACAGCAGTGTCTCTGGGCCCCTCTGGGCTGACCTGCCAGTGCTGACATCAGCCATGTGGCAATGTGCAGCCCTCTGGGCCTCAGGATCAAGGGGTTCTGGGGATTGGGGCCAGACTAGGAGGGGCAGTGGAGTCGCCAAGTACCCTGGAGACAGCTGTTCTGTGCCATAATTATAGCTGGCATAGGGGAAGGTGCAGTCATAGTCCAGCCCTGGCCAGAGAGGGTCCAGCTGGAGCTGAAATAAGACACAGCAAGAGGGGAGCTGAGAAGAGGGACAGAGTCTGAAGCTTAAGGGGGTCATTGTGACAAGGTGGCTCTGGGCATTTCGAGGCATAATTAACAATAAAGGGCCTGGAGGAGGCAGGTGCAACCCCCGCCACCCTCCTCCTCTTCTGCTCCATCCCCACCTTCTACCACTCACATCCGTCTGCTGGGAAAGCAGACAGCACCTCAAGTACTCTGTTTTGAGAGAGAACAGAGCGTTTGGGCTTTGGGAAATGGATGACAGCATTCCAAGTTAAGATGAACAAGAGAAAAGGCTGGGGAGGAAAACACGCAGTTCCTGGGGTTCTCAAGAAGAGAGGCTCTGCAGTCTGTGGGGCTGCAGCTGTCTGAGATGAGTCGCTGGAGGGCAAGGCTTGGGTCTTACCACCTTTGTGTCACCGGCACCTACAGCACCTACGCTAGTCAGCCCTTTCTCCCACCAGGTGTTTTATTGCATCACTTGTAAGCATCGGACCAGAGGCCCTGGGAGTATCAATAAACAAGGCTAACAAATTCTTTCCCTGTGAGAAGCTTGTCGGAGTCTGGTGAGGAGTGAGTAGCTTTAGGATGTTCTTATTACTTTGGCTGAAGGAAACAGGAGACTGTGAAGGCCGCCGTCACCTTGAAGGCATAGCCAGGAAAAGCCTCTCCGAGGAGCTTTAGAGCTGGAACCCGAATAGCAAAGAGCAGCAAGGGAAGGAAAGTGCCAGATAGAGCTGCGGATCTAAAGGACCTGGGGTGGTATGGAGCTTGATGGGATCCTAGGGCGACCCAGAGGGCAGGTGTGGGCTAAGGACCCAGGTGAGGCTGTAGGTGGGGCAGGGCCTTGCTGGTCACAGTATAGGGTGGAACTTGATTCTAGGAGCAGTGGAAAACTGGATAGGACCCCTCTGGCTGCGCATGGTAGAAATGGGCCAGGGTGGGGGTAGAGTTTGGGAGAGGGCCACTGCAGGGCAGGAGTCGGGCAGGATGAAGCCTTCGGGGCTGAGGCCAGGGGCATGGGGGGGAGGGAAGATGTGCAAAGTCCTTGAATAAAGAGTCTGGTTCCTTAATGTTTCGAAGGGTCACACCTGGCAGTACTCAGGGGCCGTATATGTGGCCCTGGGGACTTAACAAGGGCCAGCTGCGTGCAGAGACAGGCACCTGTACCTCTCTACTATCTCTCTGGCCTGCTAAACTATCTGTAATGTCATCAGTTATCCTTTTTTATTTTTCGGTTTGGGGGCCACACCATGTTTACCTCTGGGGGCTATTCCTGGCTCTGTGACCCCTGGCAGTGCTCAGTGGTGCTAGGGATCCAACTGGTATTGGCCACATGCAAGGCAGGATCCTTACCCTCTCTGGCCTTGTTGGTTTTCGAGGCACCTGGACTTGGACAGAGGCAGGAACAGACTCGGCCCTGCCTGGGTTCAGCGTGCAGGCCCAACTGGGTGGTGAGGAGAGTTGCTGTCAGCACCTGCCAGGAAAGGGCTTGGCGTTCTTTTTTTCTTTTTCTTTTGGGGTTTATCTGGTGATGCTTCGGACTTACTCCTGGCCCGGTTCTGAGGAATCGTTCTTCTTGGCTGCCTAGGTTTGAACCTGGGTTGGCCATGTAGCAAGGCAAGCACCTTACCTTCTGGACTCTCTCAGCGCCAGGCTTGACAGTTTGGCTGAGTGCTTCTCGCCTTTATGTTACAGGCTAACAGTCCGTTCCATTAAGGAGGAAGCAGGCCCTGAGTGGTCAAGTGCCACCGCTTAGGGGGACCAAGCAAGTGGGTGGCCTGCAGTTGCTCATGCTAGCCTGCATTCCACGGGTCCTGTTACAGGTCCTTAGAGGGGAGGGGGGAGGGGCAGAGTGGCCAGTGCAATGCAGTGCAGTGCAGTAAAGGAGCGGTCATAGATGCCTGCATCCTGAGAACCCACATCAGCCCCCATGTGGTGGAGATGCAGGTAAAGGTGTGGCCAACCAGGGACCCTGGGGCGGTGGCTTCTGAGCCAGGCCTGCAGGGCTACGGAGGGTTTCAGCGTGGAAGAGTAGGAACATGGAGCCTGTTCCAGACAAGGGGCTACTCAGACTGACGAGGGGGCAGGGCGATGGTCAGGATGGGTGCCAGTGTGGTCACGCAGGGAGCCAGGCCGTGGTCAGGGCAGGTGGGCTCCTGGGCAGCTCCGCACAGTTTGTTCTCAGGTTCAAGAGCCGATGAGGGGATGGGAAGCCTGTCCTGATTCTTTTTTTGTGTGTGTGCTTTTTTTCTTTTTGGGGTCACACCCAGTGATGCACAGAGGTTACTCATGCACTCAGGAGTTACTCCTGGCGGTGCTCAGGGGACCATATGGGATGCTGGGAATCGAACCCGGGTCGGCTGTGTGCAAGGCAAACGCCCTACCCCCCGCTGTGCTATTGCTCCAGCCCCTGTCCTGATTCTTCAGGCTCAGCGTGGTCCACGTGCACCCAAGAGCAGGCAGGCCTGGAAGCTGTGTGCAGATTTGCCCTGTCCTGGGACATCATTATGTGCCCTTCCCCTCTGCCCTCTGTTCCCCCACACACCCCTGTTTTTCTCACACTTGTGCCTGAGGACAGTGACCCATCTGTCCCTCACCACCACATCTCCAGGTCACATGCCAGGCACTTACTAAGCTCTTGGGAAATACTTGTCAACTGAATGACTGAGTCAGGCCAAAGTCCCCTGGTTTAGAGATGGCCCCGCAGGGTTATAGAGGAAGTTGGAGTCGGTTGCTCAGCTTATGACCCTGGAAGCGGGGCTGGGACACCTGCGTCAGGCTCCTCCTTCCTTGTTCCCAGTGGAGCAAGGACAGACCGAGAGGTCACTCAGGGTACTAATCACATTCCATAAAGAAATTACCAGGATGCCCAGTCTTATTTTTCTTTTCTTTTATTGATTTTTTGTTGTTGTTGAATCACCGTAAGATAGCCCATTACAAAGCTGTTCATGATTGGGTTTCAGTCATACCGAGTTCCAACACCCATCCCTCCACCAGCAGACATTTCCCAGCGCCAGTGTCCCCAGGTTCCCTCCCATCACCTCCCACCCCACCCTCCAGCTTGCCTCTGAGGAAGGCACTTTTCTTCTCTCTCTCTCTCTCTCTCTCTCTTTCTCTCTCTCTCTCTCTCCCTCTATCTCCCTCCCTCCCTCCTCCCTCTAGGGCACCCAGTACTTATTTTTTATTTATTTAATTATTTATTTGGCTTTTTAGGTCATATCCGGCGATGCTCAGGGGTTACTTCTGACTCATGCACTCAGGAATTACTCCTGGCGGTGCTCGGGGGACCATATGGGATGCTGGGAATCAAACTCGGGTCGGCCATGTTGGCTGCGTGCAAGGCAAACGCCCTACCCGCTGTGCTATCGCTCCAGCCCCAGTACTTATTTTTAAATGTAGGAGTGCTGCTATTTATTCAGCCATCGATTAAGCTGATTGAATTGGGCATGAGCTCCACATTGCACCCAGTCTTTAAGGCGATCTTCACCCTATGGTGGCCCTGTGGGCTTCGGAGTCAGGCTTAGCTAGAACTCAGTCCTGGATATCTGTTGAGCCCCCTTAGAGCCGTGACTCTGGCCCTCAGTTGGAGCTTCCTTTCTTCAGGACGATAGTACAGTGGGTAGGATGCCTGCCTTGCTTGTGACCTACTGGAGTTTGATCCCCAGCATCCCTGGTGGTCCCCCAAACCCCTTCAGGAATGATCCCTGTTCACAAAGCCTGGAGTAAGTCCTGAGCATGGCTGGGTATGACCTAAAAACCCCCCAAAACACAAAAAACAAAAAAATACCAAAACCCCAAACAAAAACCCCATAAGAAAAGGACTTGGGACGGAGAGAGGGAGAGGGAGGGAGGGGGGAGAGGGGGAGGGCCTGCGGGGCTGAGGGCATGCAGAGGGGGCTGGCTGTGAGGTAGCAGTGTCGGGGAAGGGAGATCTCAGGGCAGGAGTTAGCACTGGCACCTGTGGCACCTCTGGGGACTGGACAGGGGAGTCCAGGCCGAAGTATGCAAATGCCCAGAGCCTGAGGGACCAAAGCTGGTACAGATTCTGCCTGGAGGGCAACTGGTGGGGTGAAGGGAAGCTGGAGCAGGAAGTGCTGGGGCAGGATGCGCCAGCCTCAGGTGCTTTCCTAAAAGGTATAGGAACCAGCCCAAGGCGGGGATTTGGGGAGACCGAACTGCTCTTGTTAGGGGATGGGGATCCCTGCTGCTCCAAGGATGAAGGATGAGGGTAGGGGTGGAGTGGGGACCGGAACCTGTGGCAGTCATCTCGGGGATGGCTGTGACCCCTGGGTGTGTGTTTCCGTGTAGGAGACTTTGTGCAGCTGCCCGTGCCCATCATCCAGCAGCTCTACCACTGGGACTGTGGCCTGGCCTGCTCCAGGATGGTGCTGCGGTGAGTAGCAGCCCCCCTCCCTGCCCTCCACCTGCTCTGCCTTGGTGGGGTTTGTCCGCGTGCTGTCCTCGGCTGGGGCCTAGGGCAGCCCTGCCTGTCACCATGGACTTAGTCACGTGCAGAATGCCACAAGGGGTGGACCAGGTCTTCTGCGTCTTCACTCTGAGAATGACCAGGGAGGTCCCACGTGCCTGGCCACGAGGGGCCCCATGACTGGGACAGTGGGGAGAGGGCTTTGCCCACCTGGCCCTGGGCTCCTGGGAGACCAGGGCATGAGAGTGGACTGCTGAGTTGAGGCTGATTGAGCATCAGAGGGACCTTGACCGCAGGGTCTGGAGGGATAGTGGCCGTCACTGGTAGGTAAATTGGCTGGCGGCATTCTGGAACCCTGGAAGAGAAGGTTCACCGAAAGGATTCTCTGATTGGAGCTTGGAAAGCCACCCATGTGGTATGAGTGCCTCAACTGAGAGACAAAGCTAACGAAGCCCGAGAGAGAGAGGGTGGTTGCTTGCCCAAAGGATGTAGTCCGCAAGAGAGGCTGTGGATTGATTTATGAGGTGCCGGGAATCAAAACCCGGTCAGCCGTGCGCAATGCAAACACCATGCCCACTGCTCTATCTCTCTGGCCCAGAGACACTATCTGTGGGTTTAATCACGTCTACAAAAATACCTTCACAACTCCATCCGGATTAGTGTCTGATTGACTAGCTGGAGACCGTGGCCTAGTAAGTGGACACCTGCCCTGCGCACACCCCACCCCGCAGGTTGTGCCCAGCATGTGGGCAGGTCACAGGGTTCCTCGCAAAGGATGGCGACTCCCTGGGGGGGAGGGGGTGCTTGGACCGGGGCGCCCAGGCCCGAGGATGGAGGGCGACTTGGACCCGCTTGCCCTGGCGGGGACGCCCACCTCAGCAGCCCCCCTGCCACAGGTACCTGGGCCAGCTGGACGACAGTGAGTTTGAGGGCGCCCTGCAGGAGCTGCAGCTCACCAGCAGCATCTGGACCATTGACCTGGCCTACCTGATGCGCCACTTTGGCGTCAGGCACCGTTTCTGTACCCAGACCCTGGGCGTCGACAAGGGCTACAAGAACCAGGTGAGCAGTGGCTGCCCAGCCCTCACCAGGTGCAGGCGTTGGGAGAGGGTGTGGCCAACGCCCGGACCCTAAAGAATGTCCCGGAGGGCAGAGACCAGGGAGGAGTGGCGGTCACTTGCGGGCAGGACTTGGGAGCTGGCCACGCAGGTGACCCTGAGGTCTGGCCTGCACAGGATGATCCCCAGCAGCGAACTGGGTCCCCGCCGGTCCCTCTCACCCCCGTGCCCACCTGCCCTCCCACCTACCTTTGACAGCACTTCAGGGTGGGCAGGACAGTCCCTCGGGCCCCCTCCCGCAGCCTTCTCTGCCGCCCCTCAGCACAGGGCTGGGCCCAGGCCTGGAGACGTGTCGGCCTCTCTGGCCTTGTGTGGCCTCATCTGCCCCCTCTCGGGACGGCTGGCTCCCAGCATGTCATTGGTATTCTGGAAGAAAACCTACAGTGTTGTCTCTGCTTTTTCAATCTTCCCTGTGGAAAAAGAGCGCTGCCGTGGCCTGGCCAGCACACCGTCACACTTTCCCTCCCCAGGCAGCTGGCGTCAGTCTTGCCTGCCACAGAGGCAGATCTCAGCCCAGGCTCTGAAACTCAGCAACACAGACAGAGGCACAGCTGGCCTCGTTGGCAAGAAGATGGTCGCACAATGGCCAGTGCTGGTCAGCCGCGCCTTTGAACCCTCCAGGCCAGGGGAAGAAGGCTTATGGATCTGGTTTGGTCCCTGTGGCCACGAGGCAGAGAAAAGGGCCCAGGAGCGGAGTCTCTTCTGCCTCCCTCCCCCACGCCCCTTCCACCCCAGGGGCTCCTGCCCCCTTCAGTTCCCTGCATCAAGCAGGTTATTGTCCTGTGGATCTTGCCTGGCTAAGCGGAAGGGTTGAGTGGTAGCAGAGTGTGCTGGTGGACTCAGCCATGTCCTTTGCTCGTTCCCTACCCTCACGCCCACGTCCCCCAGAACACCCAAGCCCGAGTGTGACTGACTCCCCAGAGCTGCCAGCCACACCAGGTTACAGAGGTGGCTTTCTGCCAGGCCGGGCTGCATGTGCCAAACCTGTCTCTCACTCGCCCCGCTCCCTCTCCTGCCCTTTGCTCTGCCCGGAGGAGACGAGGGCAGTGAGGGTGGACACCCCTCGAGTCTGCCTGTGTCTCCCCAGTCCTTCTACAGGAAGCACTTTGACACGGAGGAGACGCGGGTGAACCAGCTGTTTGCACAAGCCAAGGCCTGCAAGGTGCTGGTGGAGAAATGGTGAGACCCCTCCTCTCCCCCCCCCTTCCAGTGTGTCTGCCCCATTGTGTGTGGGCGTCAGGGGCAGCCAGGGCTTCCGACCCAGGGGGCTGTGGACCCTGATGTGCCCTTGAGCTCGGGCTTTCCTGTCCATTAAAGGGGACCCCGGGGATGATGTGGCCTGCTCTGTAGAAAGCCCTCGCCTGGGTGGCCCGAATCAGGGCTTGGAAGGACAAACTCCGGACAGTTTTCAGGCTGCCCCAAGAACAGGAAGCGCAGTGCGGGCGGGGTGGCAGGCAAAGGAGCCGCTGAGAGCAATGTGGGGCAGGTCCTGCTCTCCCCTGCTCACACAGACGTGGGGGTGGCGTCAGACGGGCTGTCAGGGGAGCGTCTTTGGGCTTCCTGCTCTCTCAGCTCCCCAGTTGTCTCCCTTGGACCACTCAGTACTCCTTTTTTTCCTTGCACATTTTCTTTTTGTTAATAACAAAAATGTGGCCATATGGTTGGCAGTTAGGAAAACAGGAGACCGTCTTCATGTGCCTTTTGTCCCCTGAGCTCTCACTGGGCATGACTGGTGCTGTCCCCATTCCTCAGGTGGGGAGCCCAAGGGTGGGGAAACGTGAGCTGCCCAGGGGCCCCGGCACCGGCGTCTCGGTGGGGCTGTGATGCCAGGCGGTTGGCTCTGCGGGCCTGGGGCGTTCCCCGGGAAACGCTGCTCATCAGCCCTTCCTGGGCAGCCCCTTCTGCCCTGGAGCCCGGGGTGAAAACGGGAAAAATGGCCCTTTCAGAGCAGCATTTGATCCTGAAGCTGGCAGAGCCACACCTGGCTCAGACTCGGGCAACTAAGTTGGACGGAAAACTTGCCTGACCTACTGCACATGTTGCAGAAGGCAAAACGCCCGCGATGTCACTCACCAGGCCTGGGCCTGGGGCCCCTCTGTAGAGGGCCTGAGATGGCCAGCCTGTCTTTGGGCACCCCCACTGCCCCGTGGTTGGCCCCGGGCCGAGCCTGAGCCCTGAGACGAAGCAGGGGCCTCCTCCGCCGAGCTCAGGGTGGGGATGAGCCGGGCCCGAAGCCCGGGGGCTGACCCGTGTCCTGCCCACAGTGCCGTGAGTGTGCAGGACATCCAGGCGCACCTGGCCCAGGGCCACGTGGCCATCGTGCTGGTGAACTCGGGGGTGCTGCACTGCGACCTCTGCTCCAGCCCTGTCAAGTACTGCTGCTTCGCCCCCAGCGGCCACCGCTGCTTCTGCCGCACCCCTGACTACCAGGGCCACTTCATCGTGCTGCGCGGCTACAATCGGGCCACCGGCTGCATCTTCTACAACAACCCGGCCTACGCCGACCGTGAGTGTGGCGGGCAGCGTAAGGGAAGGGTGGCGGGGAGGGGGATGTGTTCCCCACCGGCCTGCCGCGGTTGGCTGGGCCTGCCCTCACACTGCCTCTCCGCCGGGCGCCACCCCTGCTGCGCCCCCGGCTCCCTCTAGCCCCTGGGCAGGCCCCTGCTCCTCTCCACTGCTTGGCCCCACCTGGCCACCTGCTGCTGCAGGCTGCAGCCCTTCCAGGACAGCCGCACACTTGGCACAGGGGAAGCCTGCCCAGCTGTAACCCCAGCCCCTGCCCCAGCCTTGTCCAGGGCTCCCACTCCCCAGGGAATGGGGAAGGACTGACACAAACTCACTGTGTGTGTGTGTGTGTGTGTGTGTGTGTGTGTTGAGAACAGTGCTTAAAGTCTGCCGTGACTGTGTGCGAGTGTGTGTGAGTGGGGAACACCTGACACAAACTCACCGTGTGTATGTGTGTGTGTGTTTGCGTGTGTGTGTGTGTGTGTACGTCTCTGAGTGTGCATGTGCAGAGGCTGAGAACAGTGCTCGAAATCTGCCGTGGGCAAGGGGGGCTGGCTGGGTGGAAGACCCGCGTGGCCAGGTGGGCGGGACAGAACCGGCTCTCCCCGCTCCCTGCGAACAGGCCGTGGCACTGCCCACCACACGCTGCCCTCACTCTGCCCTCCCGCCCCTCACAGGAATGTGCAGCACCAGCATCAGCAACTTTGAGGAGGCCAGAACCAGCTACGGCACGGACGAAGACATCCTCTTTATCTACCTGGACAGCTGACTGCGGGCGCCTGCGTGCCCACACCCTTAGCTCGCCCCCGCTGCTCCCCGCCGGGCCTGCCCGGGAGGCTCTGCCCTGGGCCCCGAGCAGTGACCTGGGCCTGTGCGGCCCAGCCCGGGGCGCTGTAGGAGACGGCATGTGCACGCCTGCATCGCCTGCTCGTGCCACACCCTGTATGCCCCCTCCAGTTGCTGCAGGAGCCCCAGAGCATCTGGGCAGAGCCTCCTCTGGGCATGGTCCTGTGAACTGCCAGTGGGCATCTCAGGGCTCCTGGGTCACAGAGAGACCTGAGCCCTTCTCTCTGCCAGCCCAGGATTGAGCCCCGGGGATGCCCTTTGCGGGGACAGCAGCTGTGTGCCAGGAGGCAGTTGCTGGCCTTAGCCCCGCTCTGGGCTGCTCAGACCTTCCCAAGAACCACCCGTTCCCCTCCCCCCTGGAAGTGCTGCAGACCCCCCCCCCCACCCCGGACCCCTCCACTCCCACCTTCCTGGGGCTGGTTGCAGGGCAGAAATGACTCAGGCCCCTCACAGCCCTCCTGGTACTCCAGCCCTCCAGGGGGAGGAGGGCACTGGCTGAATGTGCTCCCAGAATACCTGACCCCGAGGGCCAGGAAGAGCTGCCTGCACCCCAAAGATCCCCCGCCCGACCCTCACCCATGTCCTAAGCTGAGAGCACTGCGTTGGGCAGGCCGGCGAGCGAGGGAGCCCGACCCGCGTTCCTGAGGGGCTCCCGGCCCGGTGCTCACAGCAGGACCCTGTGCTCTGAGCGCCCCAAACTCTTCCTCTTCCTTTTGCCTTTTCCACTGGCACGTGGTTGCTTCTTTGAGATTTTTGTGTTCGCTTTTACAGGAGGGGCAGCTCACCCTCGAGTTAGACAATAATAGTGAGCTGTAGGTACTGGACGCCTCGATGGGGCCAGGGCCGGGTCTCCCGAAGTGAGGATGGTCCGCCACTCGGGGACTGGAGGCGCTGTGGCCAGGGCCCTGCCCCTCACAGGCAGAACATGGTCCAGCCGGGGATAGTTTGCCGAGGACCGTGGGAAAGGGGTCTGGAACCGAGTTCTGTGACTGAAAGATAAGGGAAAGCGATCATTCCCGAAGGGGCCTGCTCTAACGGGGGGCCATGGACCCAGCAGCCCCCTGCCCTGCACCCCTGCATCTTGGTCTTCCAGTGCCCAGGGCACAACACCATGGCAGCTGCTACCCTCCCCCAAACTAGAGATGACGCCTCCGCACTCACTCCCCTCAGCCGCAGGACATCAGACCACACCCCACTGCCCTCCACACCAGGCGCAGCTGGGGCTCCCGGGGCAGTGCTATGAGCCAGGCAGCCACCCTGGGCTTCATCTCTTGCCTTAATGCTGGGCAATCCCAGACCCCAGTGGGCCCCAGTTCCACAACCAGGGGCGTCCCGGAGGCCCTCTGTGGGGTGTGAGCATCCTCAGGGCACAATGAGGCGAGAGAAAGGGACATCTTCAGGGAGGCTGAGTGTGAGGTCAGCCTCCACTGAGTGATGGGGACACCTCGGGCCCCCTCCGGAACCCGGGACGCTCTGTCTCCCGGCTGGGAGCATGTGGCTTTTCTGGGCGCCCACGTGGAAGATGAAGGAGCCAGCAGCTTGCCCCGGAGATGGGGCCGAGGCAGGGGCCATGCTAGTGGATACAGGGAGCTAATGCCCACAGCACATGGCACCCGGGGCCGAGGACCCCCAGTCCCTGCAGCCACGTGGGACTGGTTAGCTTGGTTCACCCCAGCTTCATGGGAACAAAAGGGATCTTTTGCATTGCGGAGATTTTATACATAAATATATTTTGTTTGTAACGAGCCATTCTCAATAAACATTACTGCAAAATGATGGCAGCCCCTGACCTGTGGTCGGCAGTTCTTGTCTCCTTTCCTGGTTCTCAGCAGGAGCGTCCTTGGTTGCCAGCCCAGGTTTTGCTGGGCCTGGAACCCTGTTTGCTGCTTCTGTTCAGGCTGGTGCCTGCCCTGCGGGAGAGAGGGCCCAAGAGCCCCGCTTCTCCGGTTTCTAGTGAGCGTATGGGGTTGTTGGTGAGGGAGGTAACCAGAGGAAGGGGAGCCCCGTGGATAGGACTCCAGCTCTCTGCACCTCCAACCAGCCACCCCTTTGGGCTGTGCTCAAATTCTGCTCTGACCCCGGTGAGCACCAAAGCTGAAGTGTGTGAGTATCGCAATCAAGTCTGCCACCCCCAGTTCTGCGAAAGGGAAGGGGGCAAAGAAACTTGTAAAGAATAACCTGGTAGGGGCTGGGGTGATAGTACAGCGGGTAGGGCGTTTGCATTGCACGCGGCCAACCCGAATTCGATTCCCAGCATCCCATATCGTCCTCCAAGCACCGCCAGGAGTAATTCCTGAGTGTAGAGCCAGGAGTAACCCCTGAGCATCGCTGGGTGTGACCCCAAAAAAGCAAAACAAACAAAAAAAAGAGAAATCTGGAAGCCTCAGGCTTCTTCATCTCCTTCTTGAAGCCGGTAGAGCCAGAACTAGCACTCTGGGGTGGGGTGGGGTTGCCTGTCTCCAGACCCTGGCCCTGCTGACTGCTCCCAGCCCTCCCAGGAAGTTCTCAACAAAACAGACTCCAGCTGTGCTGATAGACTGAGGGGTGCCAAACTCGAGTGCCAGACAGCGCTGCAAATGCTTCCACACATATGGCCTACAGCTTGAGGCCCTTGGCGGCTCGCTCCCCCCCGCCCGGCCCCATCCCACCCTCCCTGGCCGCAGTGAGAGAAGGGGCCCAACCCCGAGTGAGTGGAGCAGGCACTAATGTAAGGCCTCTGAATGAGCAGGGAGAAAGCAGAGGAGGGCTGTGTTGTAGTAAGAGGGTGAGACAGGCTGGGTGCTGAGTCTGCAGTAGAGCTAGGAGCCCAGAGCATGCCAAGTGGGACAGTCTGCGGACTCCGGGGTGGGGCAGGGGCATGGGCCCGCAGGGAGCCAAGGGTACCATCCAGAGCAGAGGTCAAGGTGTGGTTGAGCCTGCTATTGGCCAGGGCTGTAGTTGCCACCCCAAGGCTCAGCTGAGGCTGGAGCCTCAGTTTTCTCTGGTGGACTGTGGACAGGTGGTGAACTCAGAGCCACTGGCGGCAGGTGTGGTGGGCGGGGCGGCCGGAGTACCCGGGGGTGGGAAGAGGCATTGCTCTGTGTTGGTTAGGAGTGAGAGTTGCTGCTGCACACACAGGGTTCGGGTGTGAGCAGCAGCAGGCCTGGGTCCCTGGAGGGCATGTTTCGAACCGCCCAACAGAGCCAGGAATGCCCCCCAGAGACCATTTGCCAGCATGCCCCGAGGCATACCTTCAGAATCCCCCTAGGGGAGGCTGGATAACGGGGTGCAGACGCTGCACGCACAGTGCCTCTGAGAAGTCCTGCATGTGAAGCAAAGGCTCTGAAAATCCTCTGGCACCTGGGGGTTAGGGCCCAAACGCCTCAGCCATGGGCTTTGTGACACTGGTGTTCTGTGAAATACACGGAAGCCTGGGTTGACTATTCATGCAGTCTGAGGGGACGGGGGGAGCTCTGGGGGCCAAGGACACCGCTCAATGAGCTCCAGACACAGCCCTAGCCCCGTCATGGTACTTTCCTCAGCCCGGGCCCAGATCACATTTAGAAGCAAACCTCGGGCGGGTTGAGTTTCCCTCCCCACCCCAAGTAGAACCCCAGCAGCTGAACACCTCCAGAACACAACCACAGCCATACTCAAGGCCACTCTCCACAAGCTTGGATGAGCCTCACCTACAAGGGAACTGCAGAAAAATCCAAGTAGGTGGGACCCGTGTCTGAGATCTCCAAGCCCACTTGGAACAGGACTGGGCCTCCTCCCCCAAGCTTCCCAGTTTTCCAGTAGCTTGGCAATCACACCCACAATTGCCTCCAATGCCATATAATCTTATCAACAGCCAAGACCCAGAGACTATGGAAATAAAGCTCCCGGAAGAGAGTGACACAGAACGTCCTAGAGCGCTCGGCTGCATTATACTCTACCGACCAATGCACCAAAAGTAGCACACATTTGTTTGGGTTTAACATACAAGTTTGTAATCTCTTATACAAGGGCTTAAATGAATCCAGGATGAAATACAGCAATCTTCACACACTTTCCTCTTATGATAGTGAGAAGGTGCACGGTGGTGGGATTGGTGTTCGAATATTATCTGTAATGAACTATTGTGAACAACTTTCTAAAAATAAAATATATTTTAAAAAAAAGAAGCGACCCTTAGGGACATAGCGGTGTTCAGAGTCAAGAAGTGAATCCTAAAAAAAAAAAAGTGAATCCTAAAAAAAAAAAATGTGAATCCTGAGTTCTGGAGTCAGAGCAGAGTTTATCTGGGCCTGGGCTCCTTCCTGTGGGGGGAAGTCTGGCATGCAGAAAGAATTGCATGCAGCCAACCTAGGTTGGATCTCCCAGACCCTATATGGTCCCCTGAACCATACAGGCCCTCCAGGAATGATCCCTGAATGTATAAGCAGGACTAAGCCCTGAGCACTCTTGGGTATGGTGCCCCCAAACCAAAACTAAAGTCTGGCCTGTGGCCTGGATTCCCAAGGAGAATGGAGTGGGAAGGACCTTCTCTTCTTTCTGACAGGCTGGGCCATTCCATGTTTGGGGCATACATCTGGATGCCCTCCTCCAGCTCCAGAACAGAATTGAGGATCACAGCAAGTTGCTGAGTTAATCACTCTGCCTGGTGGCTGGTCCCAGGGACAGGAGCTGGGGCATGCAGATGTGCCTGTCACTGTCCTGTCACTGTCCTCCTGTTGTTCATCAATTTGCTCGAGTGGACCCAGTAACGTCTCCATTGGAGACTTTGTTGTTACTGTGTTTGGGATATCGAATACGTCACAGGTAGCTTGCCAGGCTCTGCCGTGTGGGTGAGATACTCTCGGTAGCTTGCTGGGCTCTCTGGGAGGGGCGGAGGAATCAAACTCGGGTTGGTCATGTTGGCTGCATGCAAGGCAAACACCCTACCACTGTGCTATCGCTCCAGCCCGCAGATGTGCCTATCCAAGGAAAAACCTAAGTGCCAGGAGAGAGACACCCCCAACCCCGTGCATCAGCGCCAGCAGCTTCTCTATCCTCTCTTCTCTCCCCTCTCCCTCTTCACTGCCCCTCCCTGCTTGTCTGCCCTGATGTCTCCCTGAGTATAGCTGCCTGAGGATTCCCCTCTCCCCAACCCTACTGCCATCTGGGGCTCCCGCAGTCCTGGGAGATCTGGTGAGTCGGCCTCCCCAAGCTATTTGAAGCCCCCCTAGGTTCATCTCATTCCACCCTCCCAACAGACCCTCGAGGCTCCAGGCTGGCCTTCTCCAGCATCTTCCCCCTGCCAATGTCCTAGACCTCAGGACCTTTGTACCTGTCATGCTTTCTCAACACCCTCCCTGGAGCTCTGCTCAGTGCCACCATTTTTATTGTTTATTTTAAATGTTTATTTAGTCACTATGAAGTAACAAAGTTATTCATGATTGGGGTTTCGGCATACAATGTTTCAACACCCATCATTTCACCATTGTCCACTTCCCTTCACAAATTGTCCACACCCTCCACCATTTGCTTCCCAGCCACCAGTCTGCTTCTATGAGAGGCGCTTTATATGTACATATATGTTTTTGCAATGTGATGTTGCTGACAGGGCTTCATCCATGACACTTTTCCACCTTTCAGCACCGCCTCTTCCGGGTTGAATGCGTCCCTTCCCCATAGATGTTGCCCCCTCTCTGTCCTATGTTTCCTACCAGTTCTCCTATATGCCACCATTTTATTTATTTATTTATTTATTTTTTGATTTTTTGATTTTTGGGTCACACCTGGCGATGCACAGGGGTTACTCCTGGCTCTGCACTCAGGAATTACTCCTGGCCATGCTCAGGGGACCATATGGGATGCTGGGAATCGAACCCGGGTCAGCCGCGTGCAAGGCAAACGCCCTACCCACTGTGCTGTCTCTCCAGCTTCCTTCATGCCACCGTTTTAAAAGGAGAAGCTCCACCCCTTCCTTCACATCTAGTTAGAGTCAGAAGCCCTGTTGGCCTCAGTTGGAAAGCAAAGCAGCCACAGAGCAAGGGAGCCGCACTCAGAAGGTGTTGGCAGTGACAGCTGCGTGGCGGGCTGAAACGGAGAGAGGATAGGGCAGAAACAGAGTGTGGATGCACCCTGGCCAGTGGCACGGACCCCTTCTCCTACCTCATGCTTCTCCTCCCCTGACTCCAGTCACTTTAGGGAGAAATGAGGACAAGGCTGAGCTCTTCCTGCACTCCGGGGAGGACCAAAGGTAATATCTGGGGGAGCTTTGGCACTGGAAGTGATTCAAATTTCTATACCTTGTCTTGATATGCATTCCAAAATCACCATCCTATGGGATCCATAGGTGGTGACGGGCTGGAGTGCCACTTCCACTGATGGGGCCTGAACACATTTCACAGTGGGGGAGAAATGACCCAATCCACACATTGTTTTTGTTGTGTCTGCATTGGAATGATGTATCGGAATTGATGCTCATCCTTTCAACTTCTAAGGGCCAGGGGTCCCCTCCAGCAACTGAGAGCTGCATGCACTTGTCTGAGGGCTAGGGGGAGAGATTCCCTCACCCTGGGCCTCCGACAGGAGGATAGGGACTAGCATGAATCCTTTATAACTTCTGATGTCCAAAACTTTCCCTGCATAGAAGATGACCTGAAAATGGGTCATCCTCTGAGATCCTGACAGTGGGGTTTTCACGCCTCCACCAGCTGGGTGCCCGATTAATCAAGACCAAAATCACAGTCTTGAGACCACAGCAGATAACTGCTTGTGTCATATCCCAGCAAGAGAAGCTGCTAGCCCCTTTTCACCTCTCCACCAAAAAAAAAAAGAGGC